GTTCACCGGGGGGGGGGTAGGTAGCTGCGCATTGCAGGCGGGAGATGATAAATTGGTGCATAAATCCAGTGCTATCAGTGGGCTGTCAAGTGGGGGGGATTGGGAAGGGAGCTATGCATTGAAGGCAATAGCTTGGCTGCACGAGCGCCATTGAGGGCGCGACCGACAACGTTTCTAAACATTGATGTGGGCCGTCTTGGAGTCCCCATCCAGGAAGACGGCAAGGACCAGCGCAGCTGAGTTTGCTGGTAGTGGCTTTCACACTTCGCTGAAGTTTTGGCAGTTATGAGGACCGTGATGCGCGACTGTGTTGTATGAGCTGACCTAGTACAGTCTGTACGATTCAGGCTGCAATCACAGTTGGATGACTGCCTAAACGGATCTAGTGTCTACATCTGAACCTTAATGCCTCATTCGAAACTCAATCACTCGCCCAACAAATGCGCAAATCTCACCCGGCAGCTTTTCAGCGTCGTGCAGGGAACACCAGAACGACTCAATTTGCTCACTGTTTAGTCATCACTATTTGCCGCAGCACTCCACTGATTGTTGAATCGGTGTACTTCGAACTCGTCCCCACGCATTGCGTGTTTCTTCTCGAAGTTCAAGATCTCATTTGGTGCAAAAATCTAGTTATTTTGGAACATTAATATGGATTTCGTCCAATGAGAAGCCGAGAACCACTGTATAGTTGTTTCATCCCTATTGTACACCTCATGAAACTGCAGGTAGTCTGGAACCCGTGATTGAAGGATGAGTGGCGCTTTATCCTGTCAGAGTGCGAGTAGCCGTACAGTGCTCCTCGGATTTTCAGCACAGACTGGCTTCACTTACAAGACCAATTCTCCATTAAGATCTCTAAATCTCCTCACACAAAAAATGCGCTTTGGAAGTTTCACATACTATTTCCGGTCTGAGCCAGCCGACTTTCCACGTATATATGACTGCACACATAAGCATAGCCTGTATTCAGTGCACCTATCCATGGAGAGCGATAAAAAGCGATTCGTTTTTCACGCCGGGCTAAAACACACAGACTCCTACGCTTGACATTTCTGAGTAAGATGCAGTCCGTTATTTGATGTGTGAAGCTTTCCTCTAAATCCTGTGTTTTTGAACCCTATCATAAATAATTAATCTAAACACGAACAAAATTGTGACCAGACTGCAGTGGTAACTCTCCTTTGTAATGCCCCCCTCCCCCCCCAAAAAAAACAGTCGAATGAATCTGCGCTATAGTGATTGTCTCATGTCGGAAAAACAAAATATATTGCCCATCATGTACAATCGTAAGACGTGAGAACCAGAATATCTCAGGGGGATGACCGTTTTGTTCTGTAAGACGAAAACTGGCCAGTTAAATGCCACGTGAATTGGTAAGTTACATGAACTTCCTTTAGATACAAGGCGCATGCAATCGATCGATGAGCTCCCTAAATTTATTTGGTCTTCCCGGAACGTTTGTTTGCTGGAAATAACTGCCACAAATTTAGCTGAAGCCAATAATCAACCAGGTTAGCTACGCTGGGAGATTTGCCTCAACCTCGAATATTATCTGCAAACTTCAGCTGGATGGAGACGTGACACCTGCCGGGTGGCATCGATTGTCCGTCTATTTTTCACTCTTGATTAACAGTTCCCCCTAGTATCATGGCGTTATGACCTTGAGCATGTCATTGTGAATTTCTCGACAACTATCGAAGCACATTGGCAATTATATCCGAATACTGCAAGCCAAGATGAAGCTGGACTTAAGCAGAGAAAAGGTGCAGTTAAATGGCACGAAAAGAAAGCCGGGATGGAACGATAAATTGGTTATATGTTGGGTTTGAATGGACGTGAACCAAAGATTGCAAGTTAGACGTATACGATGGACCACGTGACAGCATAACAACCGCTACTATAGCGAGTCAGACGCAGATAGTGTCCCAACCCTCCGCATGAACGTTCAACTCTTTATGCGCAAACCAGTGTTTTCGGAAGCTTCGCGACCTTCTGCTCGTTTCGCAACCCTGTTGTTACTCTTGTTTGGCTGGTAACCCCAAAATCTTACGTTTGAGTTAATGGCTGCGCTTCGGCAGCTTGTTGTAAACGGCTCTAATCAATACCGTTTGGACGGAGAGTTGTGTTGGCATCACAGACCTAACCTTCCAGTGGACTGCTGTCTCTACAAAGAGTAGGAAGAAACGCAAGGATTCCAAAGAGACTGATCCAACCGAACACGGATGAACTCATTACTTTCCTCAACATGTGGTGTTGTATCAAGACCAGAGCGTCTGAACTAGCGACAGGGAGGCAGCATTTTATCATCGGATGAGGGAGCCAGCAAATAAATCTTGAACATTTTAGCTGTTTCGTGTGCCCTCCATAGATGTTTTGCACTATTAGACAGGGTAATAATGCATTTTCGTCACACTTGTGTTGAAAAGAATGTCAATAGCTCGTCAGTGCACTGTGGACGTCACCCCAATTAGCGATGAAGTATTTGCAACCAAATCAACCAAACTTTTGAAACGACTGTGATGAACGGTAGCTGAAATATTATAAGACAACGATTTAACCAGGGATTCGCGCACTAAGATACGCCACGCAGCCAGCTTCTCATTATCGCGCCACCTCAGCTACGGTGGCACGAGCAGTCCACTAGAAAGACATCTATGAGGATGTGTGCATTTCCCCGTCTACAAAAAATGAACAAAACGAAGACGCCGGAAACACAAATCGACCTATGATGATCTTGTGGTAGGCAAGTTCCAGCGTAATATCCCCATTAAAATCAATCACAGCCATCCCTTTGGGAACGGGACACTATTGTCTGGTCAGTCGGCTCCCATATAAACTCAATTTGATATGTTCCGAATTCACCCAAGAACTAGTGAACCTAAATCTAGAAAAGGGATTTAGGATGCGCGTCGAAAATGCTGACCTTGTGCGGCCATACTTATTCTCCGTTGTTTCACATGAATGCAGTAGTAACGAAAACAGTGACCGCATAATTAGTTCGCGCATTGATTGTTTCGCTCATTAGGATGACCGGTATGACCACGGTTGATCGGAACTTTGACTATCAGTCAAGTGTAGAACCACACCACTCGTTTATTGGCACTTAACGGTTACGGAAAAGATGACTTATCTCCAACTAGTTATGTGATGATTGAAATCTACCTCGGGACCAAGGCTAGTCACCTTATATTACATTCGTCGTAAAACAATACGCATAAAAACCTAGTGACAGCAGGCTTCGACCAGGTCGGTGCCAATTTTAGACGGGAACGCAAAATCACCCAAGCTCCTTGCTCATAGAGGCGAACCAGACTGGGGATAAAGCAAATTTGCGTTGGCTGAAATCAAGCCGACTGGAATAATGGACAAGCCTACAGAGCAGTGCGCTTTCAGGTGGGACAACAACTACACTTTGAGCTGTGTTCTCGGTGCGGACAGAGGATGGGAGATTAGCAGAAAAGCAACATTGGCGAAAAAATAAACTGGACTCAGTGGATCACGAAGGGTACCGCCTGTACAGCAACTGGTAAGTGGCTTGGTGATTGGGTCACCAATTTTGTGAAAGTCAATGTCTGTACAAAACACAGGGCGGTTGACAAATGGAGTAATAGCACGCACATGTCTGGTGCCTTTCACTGAGAAATGGATGTGTTACATTGTACTCGGGGAACTGGTTGATGGAGAGGCAACAGGAGCGGCACTTGCGTCGATATGCGGGGAAGTGGTAGGAAAGACATGCGGCGATGATGGATTGGCTCCGTTTTCAGAACATTCAGGTTCAACATTAGGCTTAGAACACATCACCTCATCAGAATGTGCATGGGGCTGTGATGGTTCAACAGGTTGTTCTCCATTACTGTGAGCATCGAAACGCTCCAAAAATCTATAAAAGTCATCGATAGTCGGAGGTTCGAAAATCGGTAGCGCTGGAATTGTGGAAGATGTACAAGACGGTGGAGGTGAGTGAAGATCATTCGTTGAGGTGGACATATCCTGCACTTGCTTATCAACCACCTTTGCTGTTGAGGTAGACTCCATTGAGGAAGACAACTGTCGCTGCGTTCGGTGAGACACGCTAGAGTCACCGTCTAAAGCCTCGTCGGAGGTTTTTAGAGTCACCAATCCTTCCAAAGTTGGATGCAGTTGTTGTTGTTGCGCGCAAGCGTTCTCAGTGTGCGTTGAACTAACCAACAAGTTATCGTTGTGCTGTTGCTCTTCATCATCATCAGAAATAAGAATAGGCGAATTTGGTGTATTTAGAGGCGGACGGCGTGGACGATGAACCCTGCGGTCACGATGATACCTTCTACTGGTAGTAGGGTGATGGCGGTGACGACGAAGTTTGGAGATACAGCAGCAGGCATGGGAATGTTGTTCACGGTGTCAGAACGACGACAGTGATGCCTAAACTCGACCCTCCGACAATGACGACAAGATTGGCGTCGATGAGGCCTCGAAGAACCGTGTTTGCTCGAACGTTTAATGCGGCTGCGGGATCGAGCGTGCCGAGTTCGGTCCGTCAGTGATGGAACCGGGGATGCAGAGTCGCAAGTCGAAGATGCAGAAGAAGAAGAGTAAACAGAGGAATAGGAATCACTGTCTAGACTGATATACTCGTGTAGTAATTCGCAGTCACTATCATCGGTATCGTCGACGCAGACCGGACTGCGACTACGCGAGACTCGAGTTCGTATGCCACCAGTCCCACTATGCCGCATTCTCTTAGGCAGTGATGGACGAGAGGTATTAGATGGCGACTGGAAGCTTTCATTTGCACGCAACCATAAAATATGCTGCCATTCGCGAGGCAGACCGGAAAAGTAGGCCTCCAGTCTGGCCAACTTCGATGGACAAAGCCCACTGTTTAGATCGGATACAGCGTCGTTCGATGAATTGGGGGTCTCAGAACTGGCTGGACGTTTAGACCCGGAAGCAACAGGTGTTGCCATGACAGATCCTTCCTCTGGTCGCTCATCCACCTCCATGGGTTCTTCTCGCGGAGTACCGAGATTACCCACTACAGGGGATACGGGTTCCGTAGCACTTACGGAAGTGGCCGGTTCTTGATTCAACGACAAATTACCTGCATCTGTCTCAATTTCCCTAACGTCCGCGTTTTCCAGCAAGCTAGGTTCTTGCAAACAAGTTACACCGTTGGATCCCTTCTGGATACTCCTTAAGGGCTGGCTACGAGAAATACGACGCTCAACCTCAGTGCAATTAGACTCTGTTTCTGATCCTGACTCATCAGTAGTTAGTGGATAAACTGTGTTGATGTGAACAACCCTGTTTTCTTCATCAGACGATGATGAGGATGAAGAATCAGACGAGATAACAACGCAAGATGGGGCGGGATTTCGCCAACCAGATTCCAACGTCGGCGAACTGTAACGGCTTGATCTAGGTGGTTCGCTTTGGTCGGTTTCAGGATGGCTTTCCGCAGAAGGCAGATTCAAAGAAACCTGATTGTGTAGGCAGGATAAAATAGACTCTACATTTGAATTCGCGACAGAAGACGTTTCATCCACTGCGGTAACGGTGGGTCTGGGAACTGATCTTCGTTCGGACGTACTGCTAATGCTATCCCAAGGAAGCTGTCGCAGAAAAGTCCAGTCCGCCCCAGAAAAGTTGGATTGTCGGGTAGACACATCAACAGGCCGTCTGCGCGCTCTGGATAAACGACCCCGTGTTGAAGTGAGGTCAACAATGGTAGAAGGTACGGTCATTTGCAAAAGGGGCATGTGCAGCAATTCACTCATCCAATCCTCGTCGTCCCCATCGTCAGAAGCAACACCGTTCCCGAGTCCAGGTATTCGAGCTGTAAAAAGGAGCAGCAAGCCGTTCAAACGTCGAAGGGCCAAGGGGTGCACCTTCAATGCAGGTTGGAGCATGCCAGATACAGTTTCTGTACGTCTTGATGAACCAAGATGATTTCCCACAATGTTTGAATGTCCTTCGGCCGTCTCTAAACCATTCGGTTGTGTAAGATCAACCGGAGCCGTATTGTTTCGTTGCTCACGTGCAGATAAGTACTGGTGGAAATATTCGGAAAGTGCTTCACTGAACCGAGCCTGATCGATCAACTCACTGAGTACGCGCTGATACAATAGGCGATTGGGATATAACTCTGCACCAGTCATCCGACGGGAGACGTTTAAACCGAGCGGACTCTGGGAATTATCGTATCTTTCACTTGCTGAGGAATCCACTGGACGGACTGCAGCCTGGGAACGCATCCGTGCTAATGAAGGTAAAGCACCTAAAAGCGCTCGAGAAATGTTGGAAAGTCGCACGCAGTTGGGATGACAATTGGGAGTAGACAGGGCTTGAAAGACAATCCGTTCCGGTAGGGTAGGTGGAGGTTCGCCCGTTCCAGAGAGTTGAGCTGGGTGTGTAGAACCCGTAACAGTATGTACAAAGAGGCGTTGAAGGAGCCAGGTATTCAAAGGATGTGTGATTAGACCTTGAGGCTGGGCAAATCCTGGACGAAGGCGGGGCCAACATGCAGATGCAACGTACACCGCAAGGCGCGGATCTGGACGTCTAGATCTAGATCGATCTTGAAGACGCGAGGTGAGTGCAGTGCTCACCCTACGGCGGTAGAGACACACAGCGGAATCGTACTGCTCTAATGTTCCTGTGTATCGAGCGAACTGTACAACCTCAGAGGCAAAATGAGACAGGTAAGTAGCGGGAACAAGTGGAGGGCGGAGCGAGGGGAACGAAGACAGGAGTTCGACCAGTGCTGTGTCGTCAGTCATGGAAACGTTGGTGAAATGTTGCATAACACGACTGGTTATTGAGTCCAATTCCACGGTTTCAGCTAGAAGTCCTGGTGCACCACAAAGCAAAGGTGAAGTGACGGCTGGAATAGCATGCTCATGTACAGCCTCACCCGGTTGGTCAATCACTGTCTAGACTGATATACTCGTGTAGTAATTCGCAGTCACTATCATCGGTATCGTCGACGCAGACCGGACTGCGACTACGCGAGACTCGAGTTCGTATGCCACCAGTCCCACTATGCCGCATTCTCTTAGGCAGTGATGGACGAGAGGTATTAGATGGCGACTGGAAGCTTTCATTTGCACGCAACCATAAAATATGCTGCCATTCGCGAGGCAGACCGGAAAAGTAGGCCTCCAGTCTGGCCAACTTCGATGGACAAAGCCCACTGTTTAGATCGGATACAGCGTCGTTCGATGAATTGGGGGTCTCAGAACTGGCTGGACGTTTAGACCCGGAAGCAACAGGTGTTGCCATGACAGATCCTTCCTCTGGTCGCTCATCCACCTCCATGGGTTCTTCTCGCGGAGTACCGAGATTACCCACTACAGGGGATACGGGTTCCGTAGCACTTACGGAAGTGGCCGGTTCTTGATTCAACGACAAATTACCTGCATCTGTCTCAATTTCCCTAACGTCCGCGTTTTCCAGCAAGCTAGGTTCTTGCAAACAAGTTACACCGTTGGATCCCTTCTGGATACTCCTTAAGGGCTGGCTACGAGAAATACGACGCTCAACCTCAGTGCAATTAGACTCTGTTTCTGATCCTGACTCATCAGTAGTTAGTGGATAAACTGTGTTGATGTGAACAACCCTGTTTTCTTCATCAGACGATGATGAGGATGAAGAATCAGACGAGATAACAACGCAAGATGGGGCGGGATTTCGCCAACCAGATTCCAACGTCGGCGAACTGTAACGGCTTGATCTAGGTGGTTCGCTTTGGTCGGTTTCAGGATGGCTTTCCGCAGAAGGCAGATTCAAAGAAACCTGATTGTGTAGGCAGGATAAAATAGACTCTACATTTGAATTCGCGACAGAAGACGTTTCATCCACTGCGGTAACGGTGGGTCTGGGAACTGATCTTCGTTCGGACGTACTGCTAATGCTATCCCAAGGAAGCTGTCGCAGAAAAGTCCAGTCCGCCCCAGAAAAGTTGGATTGTCGGGTAGACACATCAACAGGCCGTCTGCGCGCTCTGGATAAACGACCCCGTGTTGAAGTGAGGTCAACAATGGTAGAAGGTACGGTCATTTGCAAAAGGGGCATGTGCAGCAATTCACTCATCCAATCCTCGTCGTCCCCATCGTCAGAAGCAACACCGTTCCCGAGTCCAGGTATTCGAGCTGTAAAAAGGAGCAGCAAGCCGTTCAAACGTCGAAGGGCCAAGGGGTGCACCTTCAATGCAGGTTGGAGCATGCCAGATACAGTTTCTGTACGTCTTGATGAACCAAGATGATTTCCCACAATGTTTGAATGTCCTTCGGCCGTCTCTAAACCATTCGGTTGTGTAAGATCAACCGGAGCCGTATTGTTTCGTTGCTCACGTGCAGATAAGTACTGGTGGAAATATTCGGAAAGTGCTTCACTGAACCGAGCCTGATCGATCAACTCACTGAGTACGCGCTGATACAATAGGCGATTGGGATATAACTCTGCACCAGTCATCCGACGGGAGACGTTTAAACCGAGCGGACTCTGGGAATTATCGTATCTTTCACTTGCTGAGGAATCCACTGGACGGACTGCAGCCTGGGAACGCATCCGTGCTAATGAAGGTAAAGCACCTAAAAGCGCTCGAGAAATGTTGGAAAGTCGCACGCAGTTGGGATGACAATTGGGAGTAGACAGGGCTTGAAAGACAATCCGTTCCGGTAGGGTAGGTGGAGGTTCGCCCGTTCCAGAGAGTTGAGCTGGGTGTGTAGAACCCGTAACAGTATGTACAAAGAGGCGTTGAAGGAGCCAGGTATTCAAAGGATGTGTGATTAGACCTTGAGGCTGGGCAAATCCTGGACGAAGGCGGGGCCAACATGCAGATGCAACGTACACCGCAAGGCGCGGATCTGGACGTCTAGATCTAGATCGATCTTGAAGACGCGAGGTGAGTGCAGTGCTCACCCTACGGCGGTAGAGACACACAGCGGAATCGTACTGCTCTAATGTTCCTGTGTATCGAGCGAACTGTACAACCTCAGAGGCAAAATGAGACAGGTAAGTAGCGGGAACAAGTGGAGGGCGGAGCGAGGGGAACGAAGACAGGAGTTCGACCAGTGCTGTGTCGTCAGTCATGGAAACGTTGGTGAAATGTTGCATAACACGACTGGTTATTGAGTCCAATTCCACGGTTTCAGCTAGAAGTCCTGGTGCACCACAAAGCAAAGGTGAAGTGACGGCTGGAATAGCATGCTCATGTACAGCCTCACCCGGTTGGTCCCGAAGAGCTGATGCAGAAGATGAATCGTTCGGTTGATAGGCTAACCAGGGTGCCAGAACCCGCAGTTCTCGGCGCACGAAGGCTTCAAGACGGTGACGTTGCGCTTCGTTGTCCGCCAAAAAACGAGGGCTGATGTCTCGATCCAGTTGGGGGCTTTAAGAAAACAAAACGCTAGGTTAATTAGTGTCCAATTCAACGGATATATGTGCTATCATGCTTCACAGCATTAAAAAACTGATGTGCAATAAATTTAACAGCATGTATTGACGTACCACACCACTCATGATGTTGCTGGAAACTCTGCGGCAGACTATATGCTCAATAAATTAGAAAAGTTCGTCAAGATCTGAGCGCCAGAGAGCCAGTTATCGACCTATAGTGACGTATTGGCCATCCTTTGAAGAGTCTAACGGTTACCCGTCTAAAGTTAGATGAGATGACCGTCCCGTCTGAAACCTGAGATAGTCAACCGTGCCTAAGGTTGACAGCATATCTACGCAAACTGGTCTTGTTCAACATAAGTGCAACAGAAACTGAACAAGACGACCCGATCTCCAGTGGTTCTCCTTACAGTTCAAGGAGAACCACTGGAGATTGTGGAAAACTTTACATACCTCGGTAGTTGTATTAGCTCTGACAGCAGTGTCTGATGAAGTCAGTGCAAGAATCTCAAAGGCTCGAATCACGTTCGCTAATTTGCGTCACTTGTGGCGTCAAAAAGGCATCTCA